TGGACCAGGATCTGAACCTGGACCAGGAACTCACCGATCTGCCCGTTGTAGCTGCCGCCAACCAGAGTGTGGGAGTCTTTGGGGTTGTATTCCAGACAGATGAGCGGAGATGTGGGTTTCAGCGCCATCTCTGGTCGGTTTGGGTTTTCTGTTGACATTAAGAGACATCACAGACTGGTCTCTGTGGGGGACTTAAACCCCCCCCCCAACACTCACCAATATCCCAGATGTAGGAGTCCAGACTCATGTCTCTGGTACTTTTCTGGAACTCCAGGCAGGAGTAGGCGGCGGCCAACTTCCTGCTGCTGTCAGGGTGCCAGGACAGAGCAGTGACGGTGCGCTTCACCTCATTCGGGTCCCTGGACACAGAGGAGATCCAGGAGTGGTCACCACCTCCACGGACCAGCGTGGACAGCTGTGTCTCCGCGGTCTCACCTGAAGACGTTGATGGTCTTAGCGAACGGCGTCTCCTGACCTTCCTCCGACTCCTCCTCCTCCTCAAAGTAGTCCTGGTAGATGTCGGCTGCGTTGTTCTGTCTGCTGCAGTGCTCCATCACCTGGTGACATCAAGTACTGCCTGTTAGCAAACACGATCAGTTCACCATGTGCTAATGTTAGCATGTCAGAAGTGGGCGGGGCTTCATCTCACTTTTTTTTTCTTTCTCAACGAAGCAGAAGAAACATTTACTAACTTGAAACTATTTCATGGATTATCTCTGACTGGTTAACCTGGTTAACCTGGTTAACCTGGCCATAAAGGTTAACCTTTATGGCTAACGGTTAGCTATTTCTTTAGACTATATTTGGTAACATTCTGGTCAGAAATACCACCGTACAGTGACCACGACCAGCCTAAAGACTGTGTGTGTGTGTGTGTGTGTGTGGTCCAATATAAAGGAGGAGGGCCTTACGCTGCCCAGGTGCAGGACGCTGTTGACGTAGCCCTCGTCCTTCTCCACCTTCTTCCTGAAGCGAATGGTTTGTTCCATCTCAGCTGGGTTGATGTCCTTGGGCCACCCCCCCTCCACGTGGTTCATCCCACAGCTGCTGGACTCAAAACGCTCAGTGTTCACCTGGACATGGACGGGATCTGCGTTAGCATGGCGGCTAATTGGAGTTCTACACCGGTCCAAAACTGTTCTGTTCTGACTTGATCCCAGTCAGGGTAATCCAGGTCCAGTTCTAGTCCTGGTCCTGGTCTGGTTCTGACCTTGTTTCTATACAGTTCTAGTCCTAACCACGGATCCTGGTCCTGGTCTTAACTCCCTTCTCTAGGCCCTGTCTGGTCCTGGTCTGGTTTCTAATCCCATATATACAGTAGTCCTGATCAAATCCCTGTTCTGGTCTTAGTCCTGGTCCGGTTCTGAACTTCTTCTGCTGTGTTTTCGACTGAACTTTTTATCTTAACGTTCTGTCGAAACTGACTTTAAAAACAAACAAACCAGACGTTGGAAAGATGTATAAAGACAACGTATGACGTCATAGTACCTGGTGCTCGGACATGGCTCTGCAGACCTGCGGTGCCACATCTCGGGGGTTCCTGGAGACGAACGTCTGACCCACACTGGGGTCCGGCTGCAGGTCCAGCAGGAGTTCCGCGGGTCGGTCTGAGAACATGCACTGACGTCCGAACTCCGCACGAACCTTGGTGTACACGTGCACGATCTCCATGACCGCGCTCAACACTTCACTTTCTAACTTTGGTTCTCCGACCGAAGTTTGTTCACCCGTATCCTAGCAACGGTTGTGAACCGGAAATACATGGTGTTGAACGTTTCCTGTTGTCGTCCTTCGACTCAGTCTTCGTCACTAAGTCAGACTTCGTCAGACGAACCGTAGGAACGCGGAATGACTTAGACAAGGCTAGCTGCTAGCTGAGTAAACGGCAGTCGTAGAAGAAGAAAAGCAGCGACGTCACCAGTTTGACTCCACACCGGTTGGCGGCGGTAGTGAAACGAACCGTGTTGTGTGTCAGGAAACCAAAAAATGGCTGAAATGCAGCCTTTCTGTCCCCGCTGCTGATTTAATGACACTTTCCCAGCTGTCGGCGGTGAAATGTGCAGCGTGGAGCTGCTGCGGGTGTCGGTCCAGGAGCGGATCGACGCCGCCGCGGAAGACTTCCTGCTGCAGGTGGAGAAAGGAGCAGAACCGGAGAGAGTCCCGGCACTGAGAGCGCTGCTCACCGAGCGGCTGACGGCGGCGGCGGCGGAGATCGTGGCTCTGTTTGAGGAGACCGTGGCGGAGTACGAAGTCAGGGTGGAGCGGTCAGAGCGGGAGGTCAGCCGCCAGAGGAGGCTGCCGGATGTCCTGCCGAAGCCGCGGGCTGTGTCAGGCTTCACACGGCCGGTTAGTCCCTGATCACAACAACAACAACAACAACAACAGCTAACAGGCTAACACTTTATCACAGGAAAATAAAGACAAAGTTCAAAATGTCAGAGATGAAAAAAAGTTTTATTTAAAACTTAATAATAATAAAAACATTCAAACTGGTCAATTCAGCCCGAGACCAGTGTCTGTTTCCCGAACTTTAACCTCCTGACCCCCCGGTGGTGATGAACACAGAACCTTCACAGACTGAAGCTTCTCAACTCTCGTTCTCAACTCTCGTTCTCAACTCTCGTTCTCCCCCCTGTCTCCCCCTCATAGATGCCCAGCAGCAGCTGAAGATTAAAGAAGAGGTTCCACATGTTGAGCCTTGGGCGCCCCCTGTGGACCTGGAGGAGCAAGAGCTACCTGACATAAAGGAGGAGGAAGTGTGGACCAATCAGGAGGCGGCTGACATCATCACCGTGACTGTCAAAGGTGAAGACGACGACGACGACGAAAAGCCAGGTTCGTCACAGGATCTTTATAGGAGTGAGGAGAAGACGAGGGGTCCAGGAGGACCGGAACCAGACGGGGGTCCAGGAGGACCGGGGACCGGAACCAGACG